TCATTTGAATGTGTTCGTTTTGAATGGTTTGGTAATGTTAAGTTTGTTGAATTTTTGGGCAAATTTACATTAATGTTAATAGTATTAATTGGTTCTACAAATAAATTATCATCTTTAGAGTGAGGTCCCATTTAATTAAAATAATTAATTTAAAAAATTTAAAATATTTTACTTTAAAAAAAATTTTTCGGAACCCAACTTTTTATTAAATGCACGGTTTCACGAACTTTTTTGATGATCAAGATCTATCCATTAGTGATTAGTAATATTTAATGTTAATATGGTCTATCAATTTAACTATATATATATATATATAGTATAAAAATAATAGCGATATGCAAGCAAGGAATGTTGACGCGTTCTAACTAAAATTGGCACATTACTTTGTAAAAATCGCAATCTCAAATTGTAAATTATTTAAATTATTAAATATTAAGATTAATGTTAATATTTATACATGTCGAAATGTGTAATTTAGAGACCCATCTATAATTAATTATAGTAAACACATATAATAAAAAAAATTTTTTTTTACAATACCTGTATTTCATTTAAAAAAAAAAAACTTTAAAACAAATTTTTTTTTGTTCCAAGGCAAGTTTCATAATATTAGTAATTTTTTACAAATCATGATTATTAATACGTATTAATGATGGGATTATAAATTAAATTTATTGTTATATATTTAGAAAGATCTACATGATTTATCCGCCGCACATCTGTTCAGGGTCCTTAAGCAATTCTTGTGGTTTTTTTTCAAAATATTCATTATTTTTTCTGTTTTCTTGATTAAGCAAGAAAATTTTTTACTTAATTTGTTTGAAATGTCAGGAGAGCGTGGCAGAAATGATTCATATTCATCAAAGAATTCTTGAAAAGTAGCATCTTGTTTAGCTTCTAATTCTTCGAATTTTTGGCATTTTTTACTTTAAAAGTTTCCTGTCCTTCTTGGAATTAGACATTTCAATCTTAACCATCTTCCTGAACCAATTAAAATCCTATTTCTTTTATGTTCTATCAATATATGAGAAAATTACAAGTGTTAATCCATTTAAATCTCATCAACTTCATTACATAACAATCTTTTATATCACCATATTTTTCATCTATATCTTGAAGTTGTCGATATTGCTTGCCGGTAAATTAAACAAATTACTTATCTTCTTCCCCTAAAGGCAGTTATTTAAATAATAATCAGTAATCCTTCCACTGTCAATTAATCTATTGGTTTCTCCTCAATATGTCTGGATTTTGTTTCTTCTTCTTTTTCATAAAGATTATTATCTCAATGAATGCATTCCACCATCATTATCATATCAGATACCTGTTGGACGTCAACCTATTTTCATCAAGGTAATCAAATACTTTTTGACATTTATTGACTAATTATTGGTTGGTCATAATGTTAATTATTACGCTTAACGATCTACACTTATTTTTTAGGGAGTTTCTACCAATCCAAAATAAATAAATCAAATAATTTGATTGTTTTTATTTTGTCCGTCAGCATTATCACAAGTAATTTTCAAATGCTTTTCAATTTCTTAACTTGGATCAAAGACCACGCTGAATGTGGCATCAAGACCTTTTCCCCTACTATGTGCGATATGATTTCCTATTTTGGCGAATTCGTGATTATTTCTTGTTTAATTATATCGAATGATTAAATATTTGTCTTGTAATAAAAGAGTCATTAGAGCTAATCTAAACACCTACTATTATTCAATACTAGAATAC